ATTCCCACAACTAAAATCTTCTTAACTAGAGGGACAGTGTTCTAATTGCAACCATATATTTTGTCTCCTCTGTTCCTAATTTGAGAATGGTTTGCCTTGTTTTATATGAGCCTTCCATGTAGCTGGCCTTTACCCTAAGTGATTTCCAATAAAAATCAGTGGCGTGGACTGGCCAGTGCCTTTGTCAGTTGCACCAGCATTGGTTGCCCTGGCACCCAGCTTTCTGTCTTAGTTTTGTCTTTTAATTTTTCTCCTCAGGCCTGCACTGTACACTGAGCAGGAGACTGGAGCCTACTATAGAGGTTGCCAGTAATGTTTCAGGGGTCCCCACTAAGAGCATTATAAATTTCTCATATGCCACTATTGTCCCACAGGATTTCAGGTAAATATTTTCTCCCATTCTCTTGATACTATTCTCTGTGCCATATTTTAATTTACCCACATTGGTGACTAATCATTTCAAAGACAAATGTGAAGTTTGTGTTTCTAATCAAAGGTTCGTGTAGGTCTATTAAATAAAACAAGCAGCTATATTTAAGGAAGCTGGAGATTTTAACAGTAAAGCTGTGATCTCTTTATTCAAGAAATGTGAATACCACCAACAACCTTATCAATAAACACTGAGGGGAATATGCAAAGCAGTCTTAGGCTATAGAGCTCTGTAATCTTACACAGAGACACTATATTTTGGTAATGAAATCCAAGCCACTGGGAGTCTAATACAAGCATGTAGGTACAGTTCCACCCATACAATGAAAGTGGGTTGTGATTAAAGTGATGGTACACTGTGTCTTATAGGATGTAAAGTACAGCAAGGTATAGCAGATTATTCCATTATCTTCAAAGTGTGAGTCAGGTGCCATCTTAAGGTAAGAAGTATCACTCACACCTGGGTGAAGGCAAAGGGCATTAAAGACACCTGAGACTAGCCTTCATTGGCAATGTCAGTGATTTGGGGTGTTCGAGCATGTGCCCCCTAAACTAGGAGAGTCCCAGCTGTGGGTAGGGGCTTCCTAGTGTTTTCCTATGGATCCTGGGCACTCTGTCCCATGTAGACTCTGTGATCTTTGCTCCTACATGGTAGGAAGCACAGGACCATAGAATTTGCCAAATAAATTCTAAAAGGAGTTTCTCATTAATGATAGGTTTTGCTCAGTTAAAATTATGATTAAATTTTGGCCCCCTACCACCTTCTGTGGGTAGCAGGTTTCCAGTTATTTCAAGTGCCTAATTTTTCCACATTTTCTTTCTAATGGACTAGCCCAATTCTTTGCCATTTATTTTAGTGGGATTGGCCAGGTGATTGGCCAAATAATTGGTCATATCCAATTATTTGGAAATTTTTTGTGAGCTTGGACAGATTTTCTCTCTCTCACCCCTGAATCAAAGGGCTGTCTTGTAACCCACCCAAAATCCTTTCCCCAGTCCCGAGTCCCACAGGTTTCAGGTCACTCCTGACTCAGGCACCACTCCAGGGGAGTCAGGCTACTCCTCCAAGCTTTCCCCACCCAGGCACTACTCTGTGGGGGACCTAGACATGCTACTTTCTTCTTTTTGACCCATGGGGCGGGGCGGATGCAGGAGGACCAACGACAAAGCGACTCAGAGTCAGCTTAACATGCGGGAAGCTAGGGAGCTCTTTCCTCTTAGTAAGCAGCAGAGCCTTTAGTGTCTGGCTATTTTACCTTTATTCACCCACAGACAGACGCAAGCAATCAAAGTAACGCAAGATTCATCTGCTTTCCAATAGCCATTGGTGCAAACTCTGGTAAACAACTTAACCTCAGCTGTCTTAACTTTTCCCTAGACCTTGCAATATGCAATCACCCCTGAGTGCAGCCTTCTCTGTGCTCACAGAGGAGGCCAATTAGGGCTCAGTTCTCCTCTGGTCTCCCACATTATCTTTCAGCCAGGAAACAAAGACAAAAGAGTTGAGGTAAGCAGTTTCACAAGCCATACGATTCATAATGGAAACTTGTACACTTAATTATATAGACAGGTAATTATTTGCAAACATAATGGGAATGCAGCAGGCAATACGTGGTAAGTACATGGTAAGATACAAATTGAAAAAAATGACTAACAAAACAATAGCACACTAGGCCTACACATAAATTAGTTGGCCTGTATATTGCATTACACTTTATCGTGGTCGTGAAGCATCCTCCTTGAGTTGGTTTAGTTTTTTTTTTGTTTTGTTTTTTGGTACCGGGGATCAAACTCTGGTCCTTGTGCTTGTGAAGCATGTGGTGGAACCACTGAGCTACATCCTCAGCTATCCTCTTTGAGTTGGTATGTTAAGTTTACCAGCTACGCGCAGAAATCAAAGATTAGATTTTTCCCAGAGTAACTATGGAAATTATAATATGTTTTTCTTCCAGAGGATCTTAGAATCACATGGTAGCCAAGAAGACACGTGCCACCTTGTAGTATTCATTCTAAAATGTTCGAAGGAAAACACGGTTGAGATGATTTTACAATTATTTCAAATTCTGATTAGGACATGAATAAAAATAATTTCCAGATATCATTCTGAGCTTACTAAAAGGAAAACGATGCAGATAAGTTTCTGAGGAAAAGCACAGATATCACTGATCTTGAAGTTTAATGTGGTCATACATTCCCTGCGAAGGTCCCGGACTGTGAGGAAAGTTTAGGGCCTTACCTGAGAAAGACCCTGGAAGGACATTAAATGACATACAGGTGGGACAAGAAACCTGGGGATCCAGAGGGCGCGGTAAATTGTTGGGCTACTGCCTATATAATCCCAAATATAAGCCAATACTATTTCTTGAAAGTTAAATACATTTTTTGCATCAAGTAGCTATCCAACATTTGTTTTATAGTTAATTACATCCTGAAAATGGACATGTGGCTCCCAGAATTGTTTCCTAATCACAGAATAGTATTGGCTGTAATTTACATTTCAAACGGGATTCCTAAAATGTCACCACATCTGCATATCCCTCAAAGAGCTTTTGCTTTTTTTTTTTTTAACTTTTATTTTAACATTGCACCCAAATCTGGGAAGTATTTTAGAGGACGATCAATTATAAACGCAGATCACTAAAGAATTCCCCAGGGGCAGAGATAAGATGACCAGTATATGGGTTATTTCTACTGTATGAACCAGGGTATTATGGGGCAAGGTTCCCAGAAACACTTCTTCGGTGTGTTGAATGAAACTATTTCCAGTGATCTTCTCTCAAACCATTAGCAAAAATAAGAGGTAACACTCATTGAGACCTGCGCCATGAGCTTTACAACACCTTATGAGGTGAGAACTACTTCTAGCTGTATTTTGTACAGATAAACGAAGACATCGAATCGCTCAAAGTGAGAGACCCAGTGAATGACAAAGTGAGACCTCTCAGCCAGGTCTCTGGGACACAGACTATGGGGTCCTCCTCACCCAGCCTAGAACCAGGACCAGCAGATCTGGTCAAGCTGTGCTCTCTGAGAGGAGAGATATGAGCAGATTACAAAGACTGCAAACACATGCTCACTTTCCAGCATTGTTGTTAAGGAGAGAAAGTTGCCACACACACACACACACACACACACACACACTGTGCTCTCTGAGAGGAGAGATATGAGCAGATTACAAAGACTGCAAACACATGCTCACTTTCCAGCATTGTTGTTAAGGAGAGAAAGTTGCCCCCCCCCCACACACACACGGCACCTTTGTCAGCAGAAGGCCTGCCCCCAGAGAAGGCAGCCAAGGGGAAGCGGAAGAACCCAAGAATGCTGCCATGAAGGCAGGGTGGGTGAGATCACAAAGACAGGAAGAAGCACAGCGCCTGGCAAGCGCTGTCTATAAAAGGCCAGTCTTTCCTCACAAATCTCAGTGGCAACACAAGAGGCAAGAAAGGGAAAAGACTGGGCACAAAAGAGGGTGGAGACGCTGAGGTCCCCTATGGGAGTCCTGGTGGCAGCAGGGCTTTTGCGGGCTGTTCTCAGAAGCGGTGACAGACACAATCCTCTGGCCACAGTAGAGAAACAAAGTGCTCCAGACAGAAGACAGAGCAGCTTTGCTGCCGTGGGGGACAACCAGCCATCTGCCTCTCCTTTCTGAGGTTCTCTGAGCCCAGGCGGGAGGAAGGAGGGCGGCCGGGAGCCTGTGCTCAGTGGCCCGTGTGCGTCGGGCTGCCCTGCCTGGCCCACCCTACACAGATGTCCCAGGACGTGGCATCCCAGCTTGTGTTTTGGTGTGCTGGCGCCAGAACGCGTTAGCGAGGTCTTACAAAAAAGATTTCCACTGAGGAAAAGTTCAACTTTTCTGGCTAGATATATAGATATATAAATGGTTCTGCCACTGCTAAGCAGAGAAAACTCCAGCTGTCCAGCTCATTTCCCAGAGCCATGCACATTTTTATTTTACGCAGCTCTACGTGACTTAAATACTTAGAGGATGACTATAGCAATAAGATTCTATTTTTCTGAAGAGTGCTAAAATGAAGGGCGGTAGTGACAATCTTCTAGCCATATTAGAGCAGGCAATGAGGACAGAAGACATCCACTGATTTGTGGGACTAACGACAGGGCACCTCTGTCTTTATGAGGTGTGAGTAAAAAATCTGGTGGATGCGGCCACTGCCAAGGAACTGAGCATCTGGAGAGAGGGCCATCCCAGGAAAGCTTCCCATCAATGGGCACTTATTTATGCGTTCGCACGCACAGGCTGTGGGGGTGCCTTCCTGGGGAAGTCCACTTCCTGCCTTAGCACCCGGTTTGAAGGCTCCATACTGTTGGGATTGGTGTGCTGACCCCCCAACCCCACACCTGATTTAATTCTAAGGTGAACCTGAGAAGGTCTCCTATTAGATGCACCACTAGGAAGTACTAATGGCCACTGTGGACCATTAGGATCCTCCAGCCTTTGTTTGCTGCCCAAAGCAATAGGCGAGGGCCCTTTGAACACTGCAGCCCTGGGCTCTTTTCTTCCCCAACTTACGATATCTATTCCGATTTTAAGATATGCAACTTTCTTTTTCTAGGAATCCACGCGGATACAATTGTGCTGTTGCTGATTAACAGAACACCCGAGAGGCACGGCACTGATAAACACCAGCTGGATGGCAGGCTGGCAAACCACATCACGGGGTGCAGGCCTCATGAACCCTTCTGGCTTGGACCTTGTTGTCACAGCTTAGCCTCTTGCCAGCCTCATTTCCACCCCTGTTCTCCCCTATGACAGCCTGGCAATTTACAAAAGCAGGAAGGAAAGATGGGTATTGCTGTCACATTACTGCCTTTCCTTGGGGGAAGGAAGAAGCAGGTGTGTGAATCCGAAAGTGTTTTTGAAGAGCTGCAGGTGGGTGGGGAGGAAGGCGCCTTACAGGAGCAGCCACCACTGGGGTTTTGTTCTGTGGAATGAACAGTGAAGCTTCCTTGGGGAAAGAGCTTTCTTTAGGGTGCTTGCTGGCTCCCTGACTTCCCAGCAGAGGTCTCTGGGCACCAGGGCTCTGGTATGAAGGCAGGACACATAATGATTGGCAGTTCTGCTGCTCAGGGCTTTGCTGATCTTGCTGCATTGCAGGCTTTGTCAGCGCCTGGTGCCCCACTACCTGCTTCCTTGCGTAGGTGTCTGTCTACTAATCACAAACTGGGTACTGGCCCTGCTCAAAGCATCTTTGCTTCCAAGCTTTAGCCCTACCTAAGTCTTGCAAGCCATGTTTTCTTATTTCTTCATGCTTGAAACTCGTCGTTGGTTTACCTACAAGAACCTCATATTTTACAAACTGGCCTTCTCACTCTCCAGGGGCTGGAGCCTGTTAGAGCTGCTAAGTGATGCTTGCACTTACTGTGAATCCACTGCTTGGCCCATGCTGGGACTGAACCTCCTGCTGCTGACTGCCTGCCCTCACCTCTCCTGCCCTAAGCTGGGACCGACACTGCACACCAGGCCCCCACACTGGCAACCCCGAGGCTGGCTGACCACGGTGTGGCCCTCAGTTCACTGTCCTTCCAGCAACCCTTGTTCTCAGTCTCATGACCCACCTCCCATGGGGCGATGGAGGGGGCAGCGGGTGTCTCCAGAGGACTGGTGCTGCCAGTAGGGCCCCAGACTTAGAATCAGTGGAGTTCGCTGCATGGTGACAAATGTCTGTATTGCTGTCTGATTGCAAAGTTCACTTCAAAAGTTAAGGCACATTTTGTTTTCTAGAAAGTACAGATTGCATTTCCCTGTTCAGAAAGACACTCATGCCTTTGTGTGGGCCACCTAGACATCGCATCGAAAATTTCAGCCCTCACCCCTGGTAATGTCCCCATTTCCTGCCCATTTATTTCACTTAGCGCTCTTTACCGACATAACTACATCTTTTGCTCACTTACCTTGCTTACTGCTTATCCTTCCTGCAGAATGTAAAAAGGCAAGGATTTGAACTGGTTATTCTGTACCCCAAAGGGAGCCCAGAGGACTCACTCCGCACATACTAGATAGGCAAATGAAGGCAGGAGGGCAGGATAGGGGTTGTGCCTGTCCTGTTCTGGCCCTGAACCTGGATTATGGCTTCCATACCCCGCTCCAGGGGCCACACTCACCTTCAGCTTGTGTTCGTGCTCCTTGTTGACACGGGCCAGCAGCTGCGCTTTCCTTCTGTTGAGGGCATCGATGAGGGCATCACACTGGGCCACCAGACAGGCCTCAAACTCCACGCTGTTCTCCTGTGTGAGAGAGCATGTGGCTCAGGCACAGGCGCTGGGGACAAACAGACCCCGCATGTGGGGCAGCCATCTCTGCCCCGGGGACCAGGAAGGAGCCCTGTCCACGAAGGACATTTGGTTAAAGTAGCCGGGTACACCCTGCCTTCTACTGCGGCCATGTTTTGCTTTCAAGTGAGAAGGAAGCGGAGATGATTTTGTTACATAGATTCTTTGTCGTGACAGGAAGTCACCTCCAGTGTGGATGATGGGAAGTAAAACAAAGCCTCGATGTGCAGAGTGGCACACAAGTCCCTCGGGGCCACAGGGGCCAGGGGACGTGGCGACCAGGAGGAGTGGGGCGATTAAACAACAACCCAATCACATACAAGTCAATAAGGCATAAAAATAATGGGCAAAAGTGGGGGCTCCTTTCACTAAGGAAAGCAGAGTGGAGTGCAAACAATGTTTGTAACAGGCACCCCCTCGCTATAACATCAGATAGGAAACAACCACTTGCAGGGAAAGGGAACTGTGTCCGAAATGAATTAGAGCTTCCCACAATGTTTAGATTAAGTAAATGCTGGGTGTAAAAATCTCCCTTGATTTAAATATATACATATCTATTATGGAAACGATTCTCTCCTTGGATTATAGGCATTTTTTAAAGCTAGTCTTTTAAATAAGCAATATATGCAATTTTGATTTTAAAATCATAACCAAAAAACTATAATTTACAGTGAACGAATGCTAACTATTCACATATATATTAATAGAACTTTAAAAATTGCACCTAATTGAGTAAACAGTAAACTTTGTGGGGTCGGGGGAGGAAGAACCACTTAGTCTATCGAATTTCATTCCCAAAGCCATAAAGAATTGGATCTCTGTATAACAGTGAACGGAGGTATTTGTCAACTTTTTTCAAATGCAAGGTCTTCCTATTAGGTGCACTATGGATGTTGAATTTTGGATCTCATGGTAACTGCTTTTGAGTTCTCTTTTGAGTTCTTCTCAGAGAAGGCCCTTGGAAAGCATCGTTTAAGAGCTGCCTGTGTCCTGTGCAGAGTGAGGGGAGCCTTCCCCCTGGAAGGCTCTGGCACTGTTCTGTTGCAGAAAGAAAGCTTGTTCTGTGAAGAGCAAAGCAGAGGCAAGCCTGGGGCTGCACATTTTATGCCAGCAAAAGCAAAGAAAGGACTGATTGATAAACTCCGTTGCTTTGAAAAACAGAAGGAAGCATACAAAACTGTTAGGCTGTTAGGGAATGAAAAGTTTTAACATGGGCATGTGTGCCAAAAACACAACAACGAGAAAGGCAAAGGCAAAGAAATCAGTGTGTGAAGCTTTGAAAGACTGGCTTACATTTAAAACTTCATTTCTGCCTTGACATGGGCTAAATATTAACTCCAAGAGCCAATTTACTGGAGGCCAGAGTTAAGGGTATTTCTGTGAGGCAAACCTCAAAACATATGAATGGTAAACAGTGCAGAGAGGGTCATTATTTTAGGATCTCATGCATTTTATGACTTCTCCCTTTCAGTTTTGGTAGGGAAGTTATGAGTTCTCAAATGCTGGCTGGCCTGCTGGTCACTGTGTCCTGATAGAGTGATCTGAAATTACAGTCGCCAGGGGCTCATGGCTGGAAAGTATCCAAGTTGAGGAAAGTGTTTTTGTAGGAGAGGAAGAAAGCAAAGAAAACAGAAAGGAAGAAGGAAAAGAAGAAAAAAAAGAAGAGCCAATGTGACCTGTTAGTATTAAATAAGAGAGCAATTACAACATGTTTGGGGGACCTATAAGGTTTTAAAAACTGAGAGATAACAACTTGAATTCACAAAGAAAAAATCCCTGTCTAAGTCCAGGACAGTAGAGAATTGGGATCTCAGTGTGGAAGGCGGGAGTCATTTGGAAAACTAGGTTGTATTTCCAGTTGTTGGCCAAAGGCCCCCACCCCAAGAAGGGGAGTGTCTGCAGTTGGTCTGTGTGTTTGTGTGGCTAGAAGAGAGGACAGGAAAAAAATAAACAGGAGTTTTCCCAGAACACATAAACATAACAGAGAAGAAGCAAATTCCCCATTCGTTACACATCAGCCCGCAGGGTTTGCCTTCGGCCTCGGGCCATGTAGTTACCTGGATCTGCTGGACCATGTTGCGCAGCTGCACCAGAAACTCCTTGGCCTCTTTGGCCCTGTCAGAGAGTCCATTCAGTGCCTGGGAAAGCTGACTCTGCAGAGAGAAAGAAGGAAGCCATGGAGCTGGACTCACACAAGGCCACACAGTGCTGTTTTCAGAGCAAAAGTTCCCAAGATCCAGACTCCTCCTGTCTGAAGCTGAATTGCTGAGCCAACATTTGTAACAGTGGTGTTCAGATTCCTTCCAAGGGCTCCTGAGTGGTTTCTCCTCCAAAGCAGTGAAAACTTTTGGCCTGGCAGGGGCCCTCACCAGCTAATATCTACCTAGAATTTCCTCATCCCCTTGATGAAGTAGCCATTTATTTGATGCCTGTCTGCTAAAGTTACAAAAAAAAAATGAGCTGGACATGTAGCTCAGAGGTAGTGTGCTTGCCTGGCATGCAAGGAAACCTTAGTTCAGCCTCTACTATCTCCAAAGAAATAAAACACAAAACTGTGAGTTGGATGATCTGCTTCTTATCAAAACCACTAAGTCCAAAGTGCTATTGGTCTGGGATTAAGACAGAAAGAATGAAGAGAGTCAAGAACAGGATGAAGAAAGAAAGGTTAGGTTCTGTTGTGACTGTCTGGGGCCACTTAAATGTAATGACCAGACAAACGGCAGGGCGCCACTCTACCCGTCACCACATGGATGTTCTCTTCCCTCTCCCAAGTACATGCCTGCTGTCCTAACTGCTCTCCACACCCACCTCCTAACCAAGGCTACTCTCCTTCTGGCGTCCCACACCCAAGTAGGGATGTGTTCTGCTGGGGGTCAGTGTGTCCAGGGAAGCACATACTCCTACCGGCCTTGTTGTCTGCTGGGTGGCCGTGGTACACAGTGCTGGTCAGTGGGACCTCAGGGGAAGTCAGCTGGAGGCTGGAGAGGCCTGAGAAAGCTTTTGCCTTCCTTTTGGACCTGGGACCGATGTGGCTGGTGCAGCCTCTCCTATTTGGTCCCTGACTTAGGATGGATGTGGTATCTGCTGACTTGCATGCTGAGGTCAGTGTGATATGGCGGGCAAGGGCAACAAAACGGGCTGGGTTCTCTTGGCATCACCGAGCAGCTGAGAGAGCATCAGAACCACCCACCACTAGACTTCTTATTGTGAGGGAAAATGAACTCCTATTCAAGTTCTTTACTGCAGTTTTCCGTTGCTTGCTGCCATTGGCACTGTATTTGAAACAGGCTTCCTTCTCCTAGCAGCATGGCACAGCCTTCCATCCCTTGTGTAGCAACAGACTCCCTTTCCACAATGCCTTCTTTGAAGACTAAGCTCCATTCTTGTCCTTGCTGGCACCATGCCTCCTTTACCCTTTCTATTCAGCAAAAGGACAACATCTTAAAATCATATCATTTGGTCCCCTGAATGGTTTTCTGTTATATTTGCCTTATCAAACACGAAGTTGGGCCCTGATTCTCTTTAAAAATGTGCATGCCAAAGGCTGAGTGGAAGCAAAGTGGGGAGGTAGAAAGAACACAGACTTTGAAGGAGTTCAGATTCTGGCTCTGTCCCTTACTAATCATGACCATGAGAAAGTTACCTCCACCTGAACTACTCCAATAGAAAAAAAATGGGAATGGTAATACTACTTTGTCCTTGGGTTATTATGAGGGGCGAATGCATTAATCTGTGTGACAGCTTCTGCTAATAAAGGGTAGTGATTAAGGGAACAATCCTGAACTCATAAATGCTGCCAGATACTGGCTGTTCAGTTTTTTAATACTTAGTTTTACAGCCTCCATAAAATGAGAAGGATCCTACTACAGTATTCTGGGGTATTGTGGGCAATGTATGAAATATTAGTTTCTCCTCAAGAACACTTTCTAGGAGCCTAGGAGATACGGAGGAAAAGAGGATCTCATTTAGAATCACAGCCATACAATGAGAGACATGCTGTATTTTACAGGAGAATTTGTTTTTCTTGCTACTTTTTAGAACTCGTATCTCTTTTTTTCTGAATAGATGAAAATTGGTTGGGCTATCACAGTTTTCTTCCCCTTTTCATTATAATCGGTGCCTTACTAACCACACATGGAAGTTTGAAAACAGAAGCCAAATTCATTTGGCTACACAGAAATGAAGCTACCTGCTTGCTTAGTTTACAGTTAATTGTGTCTGTATAATGTAAGTCAGACCTGACCCTCATAGAGACTTCTTGTATATATTTAGAGAAAAATTATTTAGTACTCGACAAAGAGTGCTGGCTTCATCTAGGTATCTAGATGACAAAAGAATAAGGAATTTTAAAAATGGATTTATTTCCAGATTTCCTCTCTCTCTGTGTCTGTGTTCTTCCCCAGTGCTGTTCACCTGGCTAATGATGGTTCTGGTATTTGATAAACAACTGTATTATAAGATAAAGATCTAAACACCTTTCTCCTAAGCTGTGTCCTCTTGTAGAAACTGAGCCAGAGACAATGAGAACTCCTGGAAAGCTATTTATCTCTAGAAAATACCCCCTTTAGTAAGGGTTTATATGTGCATTGCTTTTTTAGGATAGTCTTTGGGTCACATTTATAAACCCTATCTAATGTAGGAGAACATTTTTATCGATTGGTCTGGTTTCCTAGGGACATTTAAATTCCAGGTCTGTGCTATCAGAGATGTTTCTGTATTCAGGACCACAGAGCAGGCCTGTAAATTTGCCACCGAAGCACAGAAAGTACAAACATATGGCGTGTTTTCATTACAGCATCTCTTGGTGTACATGTAGTCGGTACAGGGAGAAGGTATGGTTTTAACCGCTGTTTATAATGCCTACGCAGCCAAGTTTGTGTGTCTTGGATATTTGTTTTCTAATTTACTGAAAAAGGGTCTGAAGGTGAATGAGAGGTACAGCCGTAGAAGCACTGACCCATTTCCAGACAAGTAGTTCTCGCTCGGAGAACAGCACGCTGGGAAAAACCAAGGCTCCCAGGAAGATGGACAGCAAATTGTTGGAGCTTGAAGGGGAGAAACGCAGAGCTCAGCCTCTTCCTTCCCTGTGTTCACTCCTGTCTTTCAGTTTCCACCTGAGTCCCACTCCCTTTGTCGCCCAAAGGAGGGATGCCATGAGTGAGAACCGTTTAACCTGGAAGCCACCGTGGGAAGTTTTCAGAACCAATTTCCTAGGCTCTGTAAACGGGCCAGAATTCAGTCCATCCTGATTTGATTCCTTACTTTGCAGGCATCCAGCCATGCTGCCGAGCACGCGCAGACCGCAGGCAGTGTCTCCTTCCCTTTTCTTCATTGTAGACGTGATTCCCTGTTTGGGACGTGAAGTTGCAGGCATGGGACAGGTTGAAAAGGATCACCCAAGGATTCAGTACAAAACGGGACAAGGCCACAAACACAGAGCAGCTCAGCGACCCTCCAGGTGACGCTGCTGCTCTTCTGTTCCCCAGGGACCACCCAGGGCCTACAGCGCTTCCTTCCCAGGTACCCAAATGGCAGACAGGGGAAGAAGGAGACCATGGCTGCAGTGGGATGCGCAAGGAAGGCCCTCAGAAGAACAGCATTTTTTTCTAAAGAAATAATGAGTTTTAGTCTCACTATATCACTGATTTTATACAATTCAAAAGTAAAAGCAAGAACCTCTAATGGTAATAAGTATACTGGCCACTTGATATGACTCAGGAACTCTGGTAGGTGCTTTCAAAACACACCCTTACTTAATCCCAATCACCACTCTGCGGGCTGCTGGGGTCGGAGAGGAGAGGCCTGAGTGAAGCTGTTTCCACCCTCGTCCCCGGCGGAGGAGCCAAAACACAGACCCCACCTAGCATGATGCCAAAGTCTTGCTCTGCTCCGGGATCCCAGAGAAAGGAATAAAAACAACCCATGGTGCAAGCATGTAAAACCTGGGAGGATGAGCGGAGGAGGACTTGAGTTTGACTACAAGAGGATCTGATCCTACTTAATGGTTACATAATATAGAAGGCCTGGCATTACTGTTACTCCATGGAGTGTTCAGCTTCAGTTTTCCTAAACAGTCTTCTATCCTCTTCCTCCCCTCCCCTTCTCCTTCCTTTTTTCCTTCTTTCCTCCCTTGCTTTTCCTCTTCCTCCCTTTCAATTTAAAGAAAGACCCTTGACAAAGAGAGGGGCATCATGGCACGGAGGAAGAAGCTTTGCATTGGGTCCAGCGCTAGCTTGGTGCCCTCCTGGCCAGGGATCCTGGGCAGAGACTGGACAGAGAGTAGAGTGAGGTCACCCACTGATGCCTCCTGTTTGGGAACTTTCAAGCTGAGCTGCCCAAGGGCCTTGATTCTCCATCTAGGTAAAATTCCGATCCTCTTTCCTGCCCCTGGAAGCAATCTCTCCTCAGGATTCTCTGGTGGTGGAAGATCTTGGATTTGCCCCACCCTCGGCTCACTGTACTTGGATGGGAAGGAGTCCTCAGAAGAAAAGCCATTCTGCCTGGACATGCCAGCCCGTCGCTAAGCCCAGCAGCAAGGCTGGGGCAGTGAACAGGTTGTGCGCAACAAACTGAAAATCCAGGCCTGGAAACTGAAGCACCCAGGCCAGTGTGTGGGGTGTATGTGGTGGTGTGTGTATACGTGTGAGCGTGTGAATGTATGCATGTGAGAGTGGGTGAAACTGTGGCTATAATGTAAGCGGCAGGGTGTACATGTGTGTAAAAGAACACATACCTGAGCGTGTGCTGTCTTCTCCCTGGGGAGGCTCATTACTCACCCATTACAACAAGGCTTCATCCTGAGCCTGAGCCTCACCCCCACTTAAAGTGCCTGCCTCAGAAAACTCAAGCTTGACAAAACAGTGGGCTGTGTGGGCCAGGGAAGACCTGAAGGTGTGGCCCCCATCTCCCAGTCTCTGTGGGAGAGTCGGATCCTTTCTCTAGTACCAGTTAGCAAACTCAGATTGGGTGTTGCGCCCAGGGCCTTTGCACTGAGCGGTAGCTCATCCCTAGCCCTGTTTATTTTGAGATGGGGTCTCACTGTAACAAAGTTGCCTAGACTGGGCTTGAATTTGCCTCTGCCTACCAGAGTGCTGGGCTTCCAGGCAACAGACCTCAGCGTGTTTACCGTGAGAGCCTCTCTGAGCTGTGTGCAGGGCAGAAAGGACTTCTATGCAACCCACAAATATGTATGTTCCCTCCCGTTCTTCCTTGCGAGGTCTTCTGCATACACAAACATTTACAGCAAAAGCTCATGCCCGGCGCCATTTACCTCCCTTCTCCACAAAAGTTTTGACCACAAAAGTTGAAACCATAAAAATGCATCAGGATTGCCATTATTCTATCAGTAGTAATGGAATCAGGTGGGGCAATGGTGACAGATGGGCAATGGCGACAAATACGGTGTCAGAGCTGAAGACAGACTTTAAAGTCAGACAGGTGTGGGTTTAAATTACAGCATTCTGCCAACTGTGTGGTCATGGACCCCTTAGCTAACCGAGCTGCTCTGCAGAATCCTAAAATGCCAGGCATCCTCCCAGCTGCTGGAGATATCAGCTGCTGACAGGTGACACTGGGAGTTGCTGTTGACCATAGGGAGCTGCCTTGCTGAAGTCTATGCCCAGTGGCCAGTTATCAACTGGGGCCCCCTTCCTCGATTTGGGGACAGAGCTGAAGGACCATCCAGCTGCAGAACTCTGCAGATTGGCGGAGGCCATAGCAGGTCAGCTTCATCCTCTGCTCAGAGCTGGCTCCCTCACTTCCTTCCAGGTAGATCTGCTAAGATGACCCAAGGCTCTGCAACTCTCGGAGTCTGTGTCCAGGGCACAGAATATTCAGCTTCCATCTCCTTCTTCTGCTAAGATGACCCGAGGCTCTGCAACTCTCGGAGTCTGTGTCCAGGGCACAGAATATTCAGCTTCCATCTCCTTCTATGCGACATGGGGATAATAACAGTAACTGTATCATGGGACCTGAGATCATGTACAAAAAATTCTTCTGCACAGTGCTAAGCATATTGTAAGAATTCCATCCTTAGTGTTATTTTCATAAAAATTATATAAAAATATACATCCATAAACTGTTGCAACATTGTCATACTCATGTCTTGATTTGTGGCTTGGTCAATTCATCAGGGTAGATTGCAGTGTTGTTCACAACCATTTAGTCTCTTTCCATTTTGGTCACATGACCTGCAAAGCCTCCGGTAGAGCGAGCACATGTTGGGCCCCATCATCATTACTAGCGACTTTTGCTAGCTTAAGAGACACTGATTTTCCACCAGCTCTTTTGCTCTTCTTTGGCACACAAGTCAGTGGCATGTTGATAAACCAGCTCTCAACAACAACAAGACAAATACATTTTGATTTATAGCATTTGCCAATTAGTGTGGAATGAATACCTAGCTGATTTTAGGTTACCAACATGGCATCACTGAACATGAAGTTAGCAAGAGAGTTTGGCTCTTTTGGGTTGGAGTAACCAGGCTCTTCACACTGTTGTGTCTGTCCCAAAGAGTGCCTTGAAGTGACAAGACATGGGACAGAACCTTGGACTGCCTCCTATCATATAACATGAGCCACAAATAAATTTTTGTTTGACAAACCACTGATATGTTGGGATTTTTAAAATAAATTTTTACCAGTACACGTTTGCAGTATTAATGATCACATTCATCATGTACATAACACATCTTAATTCTTTTTTCATCCCATTCCATTCCCCTTCTTTTCCCCTCCCTCCATCTCTTGGTCTCTTTCTCCTTTCCAGAAGATCAATTTCCCTTTTTCCTATTATCTATCCTTTATTGTGCTGTTTGTTTTTGTGCTTTGGGTTTCTCATGTAAGAGAAAACATATGATATTTAAGATGTTGAGATTATTACTGCAGCCAAACTAATTCAGGTAGCAATTGTGATTTTTTCTATTCATGATTTATTAACCAATATTTGTAGAACATGACCATGAGACACAGTGATTCATGGTAGAAAAATAATGAAGAAAACAGAGTTCCCTTTTTTGGGAGCCATCACTGGTCTGAAATGACCACCATTCTGAACTTAATAATGTCCACTTAAGAGTTCACTCTGTCCAATAAAGGAGTCTAGGATATTCTACCAACCAAACACAGCAACACAGCTTTAATAACTCTTAGAGAAAATATAGCCATCTGCTTTCCCTGTAAGACACAGTCAGTTTTGCTCACGGTTTGAAGTCCAGAGTTATTTTGCACAGCTGTGACCCACCACCAACATTCAGGGATTTTTTTGCCTTAGGAAGCTTTCACGTGGGAGATGCCCATTCACATGACAGGTGCTCTCTGCAGTGCGATAGAGGAGCTGCTTCTGGCCTCAGGGCACAGCAAAAGAAACTGTGGCCTCACCTAGGGTTTATAGTTTCTTGGGTAAAAATTGATTGACAGAGTCTCTATGCTCTTGCTTGGAGCTCTGGGAGCAGTGAAAGAATCCGTGCAGCACTTGTTGTGAATGAAGGCGTGAAACTTTAATAAAGGGAGGCAGTTGTGAGGTCACCAGCACCCTGCCCAAGGCTCTGTTAGAGAGCATGCCTTTCTGTGGGTATTCTAAACCCCGATATATGTGTTGTCAGGCAGTTACCAAGTATGTTCAACCACGGTCAAAAATATGCCTTCCTTGGGCTAAGCCTTTGTGTACATACTGGGTTTTACATTCTGGAGAAGGACGACTTTTTTGCACATGCTGTCTTTTGGAAGGCCTTAGCCAGCAGGCTTTCAGTCCTTTTCCAGAAAGCTATTTCCTCTAGGACTCCTCCAGCTTCCTTCCTGTCCACCCTGGGATGCTGCATGCTTCCAGGTAGCACATCATTTGAGAGAAACAAAACTGATTTGAGATTCATGACTTCTCAGTCTCTACATAGAAAATCTGAGTTACACAAATAAGAGCTTTTGCTAACTAATTAAACGGACTTTTATTTTTATTTTTTTTGGTACCAGGGATCAAACTTGGAATTGTGCATATGTGAGGCAGGCGGTGGAACCACTGAGCTAAATCCCCAGCCCAAAACATACTTTTAGAAATATATGTGATAAAGGGGAAAAATCTTGGGAATGTTGTTTGCATAAGAATGCTTTGACTGTGTTCTGGAGACTCAAGTATTAAATGGTGCTAAAACACAGTAGCCTTTTTTCACCTCAACTTTCCAGCAAGATCTAAATAGCTATTAGGGAGACTTTTTAAGACATAATTTTTTATTTTTTATTTTGTATTTTGGTACCGGGGATTGAACTCGGGTCCTTGCGCTTGCAAGGCAGGCCACCGAACCGCTGAGCTAAATCCCGGGCAAGACATAATTTTTTATTTTTTATTTTGTATTTTGGTACCGGGGATTGAACTCGGGTCCTTGCGCTTGCAAGGCAGGCCACCGAACCGCTGAGCTAAATCCCGGGCAAGACATAATTTTTTAAGTGTAAAAGCAGAATACGTGCATTTCAGGAAAATCAGCTGACTAAAAATGATTTAGAGCAAAACAGAAAACTCAGTTTTACCGGAGAGTATAAATAAGCTCAGTAATA